CACACTTATTAGCCAGTTAGGTGCTCTCAATAGACAGGGGTGATAAGTGAGGTTTACCAGGGAGCAGGGATTAGCATAAATTACAGGAAAATCAAGAGCCCCTCCTCTCTTTCCTATCTTTGCATTCTTTCTCAGTCACACTATACCTCGCTTCTGTTGTTCTCTATTTGTTATTGCCTATCTTGCCTTTACCCCACTTTACTTTTAGTTTTTACAAGTTCACCGTGACAATCTCTGTGAACATTGGTTTTGTGCAAAGAGAGGCAAAAACAAATTGTTCTTAGCAGGGTTGCACCGATACCGATACTAGTATCGGTGCCGATATCGAGTATTTGGGCGCTGATCAGCATCCAGCCGGCCAAACAGAATGGAGTCGGCTTCTATACTACCGGAAGTACCGTTATCAGTACTCGGTATCGAGTTATAAGTAAAAAACGAAAAAACTATATACAGGTGAAACTCGAATAATTAGAATATCGTGCAAAAGTAATTGCAGTAAGTGCTGCAAAAGGGGCCCAAACCAAGTACTGAGTACATATGCATGCTTGTACTTTTCAGAGGTCCGATATTGTTCTATGTACAATCCTTGTTTTATTGATTGCATGTAATAATCTACTTTTTTGAGGTTGTGGATTTGGGGTTCTTGGGGTTTTCATGAGCTGTAAGCCATAATCATCACAATTATGCCAAATCACGGCTTGAATTATCTTGCTTTGCATGTAATGAGTCTATCTCATATATTAGTTTCACCTTTTAAGTTGCATTAGTGAAATAAATGAACTTTGCACGATATTCTAATTATTCGAGTTTCACCTGTAGGTGCATCCCTAGTTCTTAGTATATTTTTTTCTTAGGTAGAATGTAATGTACTGTAAAACCTTGTTAAGGCTACTAGATGGAACTGAGGAGCATAGGAAATGAATATTTATTCTTCATATTGTGGCCATAATATGGTATTCAATTATATTCAACCTGAAAAGAAAATATACTAAGATTGTTCGTTTTTGCCTCTATCCATGCAGGACGAACATCCACAGAGATTAGCACGGCGAATGGCTCTGGAAAATGTTTATATATAGACCCCTTAAAACCTAAAATCTTTTCTTACCAGTTACTTCTTTCTAAGAAGAACGGAGACATTGCAACCTCTTAATTTATTTATATGTATTTAATTTATAACCTGACTCCAACATTTTTGTTTTTGACTGGTGAACCCTAGATAAAGAGTTAAAAAAGGACATTTTCTTTTATATATGTTAGCTCTTAAGAATCGCTTTATGAAAACATTTTACTTATACATTTAGATAAATACACGATGAGTGTTGGCTAGTTATTACCATAGTGATTTTGTACATATTTGACCTTCACGGCCTTATTTCCTCCATTTGTTTTTATACTGTGAATGAACAGAGTATTTGGTTTTGCACAACAGGGAATCTTTCATAAACTTGGGTAACTTGAATGTGAACAGTTGTTTTTGGACAAGAGTACTTTAGTGCAGCTTGTTTACTTTGTGCATGTAAAATGTGACCTTAGTAACCCCACTTTTTCAAGTTATTATTTTAACCCTTATTCTTCATTTTTTTCTGTCACTGTAAATATTATTTTATGTTTGCTGGAGGTTTGTTTAACAATGATAGTCTTGAACTCAGTGATGAGTCATCTGATTTTTTTTTTCAAAGCTTTTGGTGTGGTATATTATAAAACCTTATGTGGTAGTATTTTGGAAACCTAATTGGATTAAGACTCCCTATATACAAAGTTTGCAAGGTTGGGCATAGGAGGGATTGTGAAAATTATGTCAAAATTAACATAGTTTTTAGATTGTAAGCCCTCAGGGGCAGGGCCCTCCTTACCATCTTGTCTTGAATTGTATTGTGATTGTAATGTCTGCCCTATATTGTAAAGCGCTGCACAAACTGTTGGCGCTATATAAATCCTGTATAATAATAATAATAATAATAATAATAGTAGATTTTGCTATGTATGTATGTATGTATGTATATGTATATATATGTGTATGTATATAGCAGAACGGGGAAGCAGAGCAGGTGGGTGTTTTGTAGATTGAGGTGTGGAGCTCTCCTCACTGCTGGGCACCGGCTGCAGGAATCTGTGTCCTCTCCAATTCCCCCATGAAACCTCTGAATTAACTAATCGCAGACTCAAGTAATCGATGATGAGAATCATTGACATTGATTCTTATCATTGATTAGTTGTTGCAGCCCTAAATTACGCAAGTATTTTCATTTTTATATGCAATATTATTGATGATGCTGAGGGTTGTGGCTGTTACTAAGCTCTGATAGCACAAGGCGCTGCAGTACAAGGCCTGGAAGAGTATTTTACTGCAATAAAGAGGTGCTTTAAAGAACTACACGAAAAAAACATGTGTTAACCCTTGCACAGCACGCCCTGGTTACTATTTAAACCGGCGCGTGCTGTCACTTGTCCAGCACTGGCGTGATGAGAGGACAAGTTATTTTTCAAGCCCTGTAAATTATAGTAAAAAAAAGTATGTGGGGGAAGCTCAATGGGGACAGTATGCTTTTTAACTATAATTTACAAGGCTTGAAAAATCACTTGTCCTCTCATCACGCCGGTGCTGGACAAGTGACAGCACGCGCCGGTTTAAATAGTAACCAGGGCGTGCTGTGTAAGGGTTAATACATTTTTTAGTGTGGAGTTCTATGGAGGCAGGAGGGTACATAGACGTCACACACAGTCACAGATACCGTACTACTGTCAGTATATCACTCCCCTTCTTCATCACTTCTGTACTCTATCATACAGTGATGGAGAAGGAGAGTGATATACTGACAGTGTCACACAAAGCACAGTACCTGCAGGATCTCCGTCGGCCTCGCACCACATGTGTCTGGACTCGGGACCATTTTCAGTCTCCTCACGGCCACACCTCCGTTGCTGCACTGCGCCAGGCTGACTGCTGGGTAATGCAGTCCTCTGGCCGGTGGCAGCTCCCCTGTTCCCCAGTTCGCCGCGGGCGGCGTGAGAGAGCTGCGGCCATGGTCGCGTCAGGTCACACTTTTCTTCGACCACGCGGACCTCCCCCAACAGTCGTAATCTCCAAACTCTTCACCCTTTTGTGAATAACCCTGAAAATAATAAAGATATTAAGTAATACTTAAAGTGGTTCCAAACTGAGGGGAATTTATCAAAACTGGAGCAGACAGAATCTGGAGCAGTTACCTAAGGCCACCAATGAGCATCCACCTTTTATTTTTAAACCTTAACTGAACAAACTGAAGAGAGAAGCTGATTTCTTGTCATAGGCAACTGCTCCAGATACATTTGCTTCAGTTTTGATAAATTCCCCTCATACTGTTTGAGTGTGTGTGTAGGCCAATGTAGTTGGATCTGTATGTGCGTTATAATTAATCGAACTTTATCGATAAACAAAATTTCGATTAATCGAACAGGAAAATTTTAATCATTACCAGCCCTAGTTCCAAACATTATATAATTTATTTTTATGGTTTAGTAATAGCCTTTCATGGTCTACAGAATGCTGGTTGTCCTAGTAAGTGCAGTAAAAAGGGTAAAAAAAATTAAATCAGTATTTGGTGTAGCCGCCCTTTGCCTTCAATATAGCAGCAATTCACGTTCAGTAAGTTGTTTCAGGTATCCTGAAGAACTCATCATGGCTTCACCACAGACTTTGGCTGTCTCGCTTTTTTGTGTATTTGCAAGTACTCCCAGACTGACATAAATGTTGCACAAGTCCTTGTTCATCTTTTAGCTGCAGATAGTTTTAGTATGGTTGTCAAGTGCCCAGTTTTATTCCCTCTCAATTCACAAAGCTTTAGCAAAAGGATAAGGAACTTTATTTTCATTTTCAAACCTCATTGGACTAAAAACCAGTCACGTTTTTAAAAATAAGGATTCTTATCCTGGTGTGTTAGCTCTGTGAATTGAGCTTTATGTCATTAATCACTGCCACCATTTCTGCTGTACAAATTCCCATGCATTCCTGTAGAGAAGCCATCTAAAATGCGACAGTGGAAGGTCTTTACAAAGGAATGATTTTGATTTTTCTGCACATGGAAGTTCTAGCAGAAGTGAGGACAGGTGAGTATAAAACTTTTGGGGTTGTTGGGAGGAAGTTCGTTTAAAGGTTAACTGTGCTAAAAATGCACTTTAATTGGTTTGTGTGCTTTAGGGAGACTGGAAGAATTTTTAATCTGTCAGAGTAATTGACTGTGAGTAAAAAAGCTTTTTTTTATTGTCAACCTCCACACTGCCCAGTTATCCTTGTGCATGCTTAAGTCCCATAACAAGTGAACACTGAGATAGGTATGGCTAACATTTACCTAGCAATTTGCTACTGTTTAATATGCTGCAAAGTTGTACTTTATCCAGACCTGATTTTTTAAAACTTTTATTTATTATTTATAGGGCCATCAATTTCAACAATGTTTTACACATTACCAAATTCACTTTAGTCCCTGCCCTCAAAGAGCTTAAAATCTAAGGTCCTGCTCTCATATGTACACATACTAGGGCCCGTTTGGACAGCCAGTTAACCTACCAGCATATCTTTAAAGTGTGGGGGGGAAACCGGAGTTTCCTTAGGAAACCAATGCAAACGGAGGAAAAACATGCAAACTCCTTACAGATAGTCTCCAAATCTGGATTTTAACCAGGGACCTCAGTGCTGCAAGGTGGATGTACTAACATGTTTTACATTTATCTAAATGCATCATCTAATGGATAGTAATGTTACTTCTAGCTGTTTGCATAATGTTTCTGAAGATCTTCATGCACAAACCTAAGCTAGACTTACAGGCTTTTGATTTAAAAAAAAATACAAAACAATTAAATTTTTGTGTTCTCCAATATGCACATACAAAAAGTATATGTGGTTGTCTTTCAGCTTTTTCTGCATGCAATGATTGCTTGAGAGTAACCCCATGTTTGATAAACTTTGTGAAACGCATTATTTCTTTGACCTATTTGTCTAATATTGTATTTATTTATAGGAATGAAAAACTTAAAAGATGCTCCCAGTGCAAGTTTGCCAAGTACTGCAATTCACGTTGCCAGGTAAATAAAATGTATTTAATAATGCTTTGTTAACTCCTAGTCAAACAGTTAGCAATAAAGTGTCAGGCTTCTAAACCACATATTGATGTATGCTATGGGTACCAAAGTTACCAAATTATCAGACATTATCATAGTCTATAAACTGGCAATAGTCAGGGCAAGTGGCATTCAGACAATGAAGAATTACTTGCATAGCTCAGGGCAGGCAGTGTTCAGGCAGAATGTTGTTAGGCAGAATGTGCAGGAATAATACAAGTGGTTTTTTGCACTCAGAGATAATGAGATAATCATTGGACAAGCCCTCAGTGAACATCATCAATCCTTTCTTTTTAAAGGAAAACGAATGTGGTTTTATGAAACACATGAATATGCCTCCAGTGGGTCTTAAAAGGCTGAAGGATAGATAGAAGAAGATAGAAGGGTAGATTGCTTTTGTTACAGCAGAACTCCGGGCAAATCACATCTTAAACCTTGCAATGTGGCTACCCCTGCACTGCACTGCAAGGGTTATTTGCTCATTTTGTCCAAGGAACTTAAAAACAAAAGTTACACCCACCCGAACAGCGATCGTGGCTTGCTCTTAGACCGTGAAGAGAAAGGTTTGTTGCACTCCTTACCGGACAACCCCGAATATGGGGAAGGGTGCTTGGAATGACCGTGGATAGCGCCGCCGTCACTGCTATGCCTGATGAAGGGATCCTGTGTGGTCCCGAAAGCGCTTGTGTATTTGACATAAGTTTTGAATAAATTCACGATTGACTATCCTTGAAGGAGTCTGGTGTGCTGGTGACATCTCTATATTGTTTGCTCTTAGACAGGACCCTTCAGCCTCCCTCTTCCTCTGCTCCAGCGTTGGTATGTCCTTCGGTTTCCTAACGTTCTATACACTGTATAGAACATGATGACTCACAGGACCTTAGACCACTGGAGCAAAGGGTGAGCGTGGCTGAAGGGACCCATCTAAGAACAATAAGAGCAAGCTTGGATCACAGTTCGGGTAAGTATAACTTTTTTTTTTTAGCTACCTAGACAAAACAAGCACTTAACCGTTAAAGTGCAGCCCCACTTCACGGGCTAAGATTTTATTTGCCTGGAGGTCAGCTTTAACAGTGAGACATCTACTCATCAAAAGTACAGAAGGTTAAGCGCTTACTAAATTTCTGGAAGAATCAACAGGGTTTTTATGCATTATCAAACAGATATAACTAAAATGGTATATTTAACAGGCCAGAAGGTAACAAATAAGGTAAGTTCATTTTTGGGATTTACATGCATTTTAATTTGATAGAAAATAAAAAGATTTTCACATAACTGAAGAGAAAACAAAATTCTTGATTTTACCAGAGAGCTTAAGAAAACAACAGCATATATAGAATATAGGAAACTATACATTTCAGAAAGCTAATGTACTTAAATATGTATCTTATTACAAGGAAAACAATATAGGCAGTAAAATTTAAATTAAATCTAGAAATGTGGTGTTTAAAATTGCAGTGATTCTCCTGTTTCTTACTTAATATAGTGGAGATTCCCCAGTATGGCTTCGGGAGAATGAGTATTGGGGAAGTGTCACACAGGGCAAGAAGAAAAATAGACTGGAAAAGACACAGAGAAAGCAAATCCCGTCATACTTGTATGATAAGAGAGGTAGCACAGAAGACTTGGCCAGATAGGTTAACAAGTCACTGAGACAGGGATCACTTTTTTCATATTGATGATGCTCAGAAAAAAACACTCCAGAAGTCAAAGTAGAAATGTAAGGACCTTGTCTCAACTGGAAAAGAAACTCCTTGTATAAAGTGATTCAGAAAACCTTGGTAGGCCTTGGGATCTCTGTTGTAGCACTGCAGTGACAAAATCCATTATTCAGGAGCAGCAGCCATAGGAGCAAGAATCCCATGAACAGTCAAAAGGGGACTTGTAGGGGGGCGTCCCATCTGTCCTACCTCTACCTCAGGAAACTGAAACAGGAATTGAACGTTCTCCGTCTCATGGATGCGTGGCGCTTCCTACACCCCGGGGACAGGGATTACACATACTTTTCACAGGTCCATCAGACGTACTTCCGCATAGACCTCTTTTTCATCCAACATAAGGACTTACCCTCGATACAGGCAGCCACGATCGACAACATTCTCCTATCTGATCATGCCCCCATCCACTTGGAGTTAAGGCTGCTTCCACCATCCTTCACTAAACCTTCGTGGAGACTGAATGAGTCCGTCCTCCAGGAGCTTGCGATTCGGGCTGACCTGGAGGAGGAGATAAGGTCCTACTTTGCCACTAATGGATCTTCCGTTACTAATCCTCTCACTGTGTGGGAGGCCCACAAGTGTGTGCTGAGAGGGGTTCTCATTAGGCATGCTGCTTGCCGTAAGCGAGAGAGAACTGCTCAAATAGCCCAATTGTTTGAGCGCTTGCACAGTATGGAAACCTGGCATAAGAGGTCATTGGCCCTCGATGTGCAGATAGCCTTGCAACAAACCCGCGAGACGTTAAATTCTTTACTGCTTCGGCGGGCGACTCAATGTCTGGTCACTTGTAGGCGAAGGTTCTATGAGTTCTCTAACAAGCCAGGGAGGATGCTAGCTAGAGCCCTTAGGGGCACACGCTCGAAGCCTTTCATATCCCACATTCTCTCACACTCCGGATCGGAAACTGTCTGTGTCCAAGGACATAGCAGTTGAATTTGTGGCGTTCTATGGCCGCCTGTATAATTTACATCCGGCTCCCTCTGATGCCGAGATCACGGACTGTTCGCGACGCATTGACGAGTATTTACAGATGTCGGGCATGCCTTCTCTTGAGTCGGAGGTCGGTCAGGTGCTGGACTCGCCCCTTACCTCAGCGGAATTGAGGCGCTCAAACAGATGAAGGTGGGCAAGGCACCCGGCCCTGACGGGTTCACTTTACGGTATTACCGCCAATTTGCATCCCATCCCACACTTTCTTAAGGCCTTCAACGCTATTGTGGACGGGAACCCTATGCCTCATGACTCCCTACCGGCTCGTATCATGGTTATCCCGAAGGCTGACAAGGACCCCGCACAGTGTGGCAGTTACCGCCCGATCGCCCTTCTTGATGTGGACCTTAAGCTACTCGCCAAAATTCTGGCGAACCGCCTCCTCCCTTTCATCGGTACTCTGGTCCACTTTGATCAGGTAGGATTTGTCCCGTCACGCGAGGCCCGAGATAATACCATCAGGGTTCTGAATGTGCTCCATTCTGGTCGCATGCCTACTTGCCCGTCGATGCTTTTATTGGTTGATGCAGAGAAAGCTTTAGACAGGAAGTTTGTACAGTCTACTCTTCGACATATAGGCCTGGGACCTGGTATGCGTTCATGGATAACATCTCTATACTCCAATCCTTCTCCTGCGGTGAACATCAATGAAACTCCTTCGGAATACTTTCCCATATCGAACGGTACGAGACAGGGATGCCCTTTGTCACCCCTTAATTTTGTCCTATCGCTGGAGCCTTTCCTGTGTACTATTAGAGCAGACGACTCAGTGGTAGGTTTGTCTCTCCCGTCCGGTGTGCACAAGTTGGCGGCGTATTTTGGCGGACTTATCGCTAATATACGAGGAGAACTTTGTCCCCCTCTTGTCCGCACTTAAGAGAGACTTATTGCAGTGGCGGGAACTCACTTTGACCTGGTTTGGGAGATGTGCAGTACTTCAGATGACTGTGCTCCCTCAACTCTTGTACGTGTTGCAGGCTCTGCCGATCGCACTGCCTCCCATCTTCTTCTTCACTCAGGTGCGCCGGCTTTTTTTGGACTTTGTCTGGGCAGGACGACATCCACGCCTGGCGTACCGCATTCTGACTCTTCCCAAACAATGTGGGGGAATAGGTCTACCGGACATCCAACGGTATTATAGAGCGACTCGCCTGGCCCGCTTGGTGGACTGGTGCTGTCACCTAACCCAGAAGAGGTGGGTGTCCATGGAGTTGCTGGAATCTTGGGTCCCTTTAGGTGGCCTACCGTGGCAGTCCTCTCTGCTTCCCCCTGAAGTGCTCTCCCACCCCACTATCTCCCCGACTTTGAAATCATCTAGGGTGACACTTAGGTCCTCTGACCTCTCTCCTTCTCCGTCTCCCCTGACGCTGGTGATTAGAGATCCTGACTTCCCTCCCGGGCTGGACAGTGGCCAGGTCCGCTGTCTCTTGCCGGGGGGTAATTTCCGCTTGGTGGATTTCATGGTGGGGGGAAGATGGATGTCGCGGGATGAGATCCAACACCTGCTCTCCCCCGCCTATGGCTCAATGGGGAGCATTGTAGCTCGGGCATTTCCTTCGGTCTGTCCTCGGGGTGCGGGAACTTACACGCAGCCTCACAACATTTGAATCGATGTGCCATACGCGGGAACTCGTTCGGCACTCTCTATCATTACTTTATAAACTCCTAGCTGCCCCTGATGCTTCATTTTGTCCCCCTTTTTTCTGAGGAAGTGGGAGTCTGAGTTAGGTAGGACCTTCTCGGAGCCGCAGAACTCCATCATGATCCACTTGATCAATGCGGCGAGATCCTGTATACCGTTGCTTTGGAGACAGGACAAGCCTCCTACATTGCGTATGTGGTTTTCGATCGTAGATGACATTTATCGCATGGAGGAACTGACGGCTTCCTTCCTCAACTCTGAGGAGAGGTTCCGTTCCACCTGGATGCCTTGGTACGCCTACACCTTGTCCACTGCCTACTCTCAAGCAACCTCACCCGCTGCTGCTTCAGACGTTGTGGTGGGGAGGGGAGAATAGGGTGGTACTTGGGTGTGCAGGTCAAGGCTGCTTCTTCACTCGTCTGAAATCCTTTCCACTTCTCTTTACCCTTTTCTTCCTTTTTTTTTCTCTCTCAATCCAGTCCTGGGAGATACTGTACCGCTGTTGGGCCTAACCTCTACCACTGTAGATGTAAGAGTTTTGCTAGACGGTACAACCCCTAGAAGGTGGGGTGAGGTGGTCCTTGTATATTAATGTTTCAGATTGTTGTTTTATT